ATCCTGATATTCACAGAATTCAGGCAAACTTTAGCAAACAACCAAGCATTGCATAATCAAAAATTATATAAAATTTAATACCTTGCAAAATAGCATTTAAGACTTTTAATACGTTTTAAGGGCCTTAAATTTCTCTACACTGTTTGATCAACTTTTAATACGTTTTAAGACCCCGCGAACACCCTGGTCTGTGAAAATGGCAATAATCATATTAAACAATCTGACAACTTGCTTTATTCACTTCATTTATGTGTTGTGCGTTGTTGTACTTTTGCACATACTTGTACTTTCGTTGCACTACGCGTAGACACATAGCCCTCGCTGTGGCCATCAGCGACGATTAGCCTACCCAATTCACCCATACCACATGTTTTTGGACTTGTGGGGGAAATCAGAGCACCCAGAGGAAATCCACACGAACACGGGGAAAACATGCAAAGTCCACACAGAAATGCCAACTGACCCAGCGGAGACTCGAACCAGCAACCTTCTTGCTGTGACGAGATCGTGTTACCCACTGCGCCACCATGCTGCCCCTGTCCTACTACAGTATATAATTAGTCATTTTATAACCAGTTTTTTTTATGCCAGTGGCCAGTCACCTGGAGAAGAGGGTCTATTGACCACTTCTGTACACGCTGTTCTTTGGTTTAGGAAAGGCTTTCCTCTCCACACCAGCCACCTCAGTCCCCAGGGAAAGAGATTTCTCTTCAGCAGGGGACATTATAAATGTGCAAAGCTATGCTGATATTTCTTTTCAAAAACGTAAAATCCCTGCTCAGTCACAGTTTATATTTATATATTAAGGGATCCAGTTTATATTGTTCTTTTTTTTATAAGGAATTTGTTTTTAAAATAGCAATTTAGTTATGACAGAAAACCTATTATTTTGCAATGTGCAGCATTTTCATCACCTTAAATTTATTTCAAATAATTCTTATTAAAAAAAAACGTGACTAAATCGTGAATCGTAAGATTAGTATCGTGACTTGTATCAAATTGTGAGTCAGGTGAATCTTTACATCACTACTAGTGGGCGGGGTTTTCCCCCTCTGATGACACAGGAGAATGTCAAATCAAAGTGTTTTTATATACTGTTTTAATGAAGTGTGATTAAAATTAAATGAATACATTTTACCATTGGGAGCTGGTTATTTTTACAGACTGTTGCCACACAAGTGTGTTAAAACCCTTTATAGAGGTGATTTTTTCATAATAGGTCCCCTTTAACAGATTACAGGCAATTATATCAACAACTTTAAAGTTCTTAACCACTTTCTACTTAAATCCCAATCAATGAAGGTTTATCTCAGAAAGCAAGTGCTCATATTTCCCGTTCCCAGGTGCTGATTGCTCACCGGCTGCTTGATTATAATTAGCCCGCCTAAAAGAGTCCAAAATCTACTAATCTTCCCACAGCCTCGCAAAACCATTGGAAGAAATCCAGGGGAAGCCAGAAAAGACGCATAGTCATGACTGAAGCTCAGCCAGGCCATGTGTAAATAGAAAGGGATGGTTGTTGTTTGTGGAGACTGTGTGCAATCTGCCACTGTGGACCGTTTGGCAATGTCACCAAATACGAGCCAATGCAAACACTCCACACAGCATCTGCTCAGATGGCTCACCCAGTTCTCTAATCACACAGGGAAGTGAGTCGCTAAAAAAACTCAGGAAGGAAACGAGCAGGAGCAGCACATCAGATTTTCCTTGCGTTGACATGATGGTGACCACACTGCTGAAATGTTAATGCGGATGACCTTACTAAACAGATTTCCTCTCAGACTATGTGGGAGAGCCATCCTTTCCTCAAATAGAAATATATATAAACACTTGTCGTCTGGACTGTTGTGGTCAAAATCATGAGCATGTGATTTTCCAACCTTAATCCAGACAAAAGAAAACAGAGCTGAGCTCCAAATGAATCTGTGTGTGTGCGTGTTAGTCGCAATGGAATGCTGCCAATTGCAAACAGGGGAACCAATTAACAGGCTTAATTCATTCACACTGCTAATTAAAGGTTTGAAATGTGCGTTTGTACAGTAGTTTGGCATAAGCTTTCGAAATGACAACAACAAAAAGCAATCAGTGTCAATTATATTGTGTATTTGAGATAATGTAAAACATCTGAATATGATTTACAAATTTAAAAACAATAATAATTTTAATGATTCCTTACATTTATAAAGCACTTTTGTGGACACTTAAAGCGCTTTACATATTGGGGGAAAATCACCTCATCCACCACCAGTCTGCAGCATCCACCTGGATGACGCGATGGCAGCCATATTGCGCATAACTGCACACCACACAACAGAAGATTGGTGGAGAGGAGTGATGAAGGCAATTATGATATGGGGATGGTTAGGAGGCCATAATGGACAGAGACCAGTGAGCAAATTTGGCCAGGATGCCGAGGTTAACCCCTCTTTTCGAAGGACATCCTAGGATTTTTAACGACTACACAGAATCTTTGAGTCTGATCTGAGAGAGAGCGCTCACTGAGCCGTAAAGAGTCCCCTTCACTATATTGGGGTGTTAGGACCAACACAGACGCCAGGTTGAACGCCCTCTGCTGGCCTCACTAACATCACTTTCGGCAACAACCTAGCTTTCCCATGTGGTCTCCCATCCAGGTACTGGCCGGGTGCAGCCCTGCTTAATAGGAGAATTGTAGAGAGCTAGCAGCCGGTATATATCATGGTTCTACTCTACTGATGATTAATATTTCAGAAAATGGTTGAGAGAAATATATTTAATGATGTTCAGTTATATAAATTTAACTCCCAATACATGAAGTTTCTGTGCCGAAACAAAAGTGAAAACACTATAAAAGCAACAGTTAAATTCAGCAATTGTTTCTATTGTTTTCTCATCTTCTCATGAAAAATAAACGCCCCAAAGAGGGTGATTTCACTATGATGCCATTAAAGAAACATTTTTGGTTCTACTAGAACTTTTTCATTTTTTTCTAAGAGCCATCAATGTCAATAAAGAACCTTTAAATTTTATAGTGTAAATCAGGGGTTCTCAAACTCGGTCCTGGAGGTCCAATGTAGGCATGGGACGAAAATTGTTTTCAAGGAATACCGCGGTTTGCAAAGGTTAAGGTTTTAAAACAGCCAAAATTTTCTGCTATACTGTTCCCAAGATATGTGTAAGATTTTTTATTTACGTTTTTTTAGGACAGCAGTATCTCCAGCAGAAAATTGCAAAGAAATTAGTGTTTTTGAAAATAACGAAAACAGCAAAAGTCGATTATTTATTTGAATTATTAGCCTGACATGTTTACTGTTCTTAAATGTTTTAAAAGTTTCTCAAAATAAAATATGAGTTCAGAGGAAAAATCACCCATGCCTACGTTGTCCTGCAGATTTTAGCTCCAACTTGCTTTAACACACCTGCACAGATGTTTCCAGAAAGCCTAGTAAGAGCTTGATTAACTAGCATAGGTGTGTCTGATTGTGGTTAGAGCTAAAAGCAGCAGGACATCAGACCTCCAGGACCGAGACTGCGAACCCCCGGTGTAAATGCTCCTTCACAGCACACAGAATTTTTATTTTTAAAATTTCACTTGATTTGTATTTTTTAATGATTAAATAATATTAGATGTATCATTCTATCAATAGAGTTTCAAATGTCATGTAAAACAATCTGTAAAAAATAAAACAAAATAGAAACCACCACATAAGTGCGAGGGTTATCACCATATACTGTACCATTAAAACATTTTAAACCATCAACTTTTATCCATTAACAGGTCATTTGAATAGTTTGTAGTGTGTTTTTTTTACATATACTCAATTAAGATTCGAGCAATTCCATGCAAATGTCAAGATTGTCATGAAAAATAATAGGTACATTTTTACCAAAATAGCAAAACCCTCTCTACGTTTTTGTTTAAGTCTGTATTTTACAGGACTGTAAAAATACTTAAAAATGTCTGTCAGTGTCCTTAAACAATTATATTTGATTTAAGTCACACAAGTGGCAATTTCACATCCATCACATCCATAACAGAAAGACGTCAAAACTCCATAAGAAAGCCTCATAATTACAAAAATGTTAAATAAAATAAACCCATCATTTTTGTTCTATAGTGAGCAACTCTTATACATTTGATTAGCGTGGTTTCTTTGGGGTTGTGCAGTTTAATTCACAGAATTTCTACAAAGTATGTCGTAGACTGTAAACTTGCAGACTTTTATGGTCACATCCATAGCGCATGTTCTTTTTCCTCATGTAAAATATGAAAAATGTTTACAGACTGATATTTTTCTGGTCCTATAACTCTGTGGTTAGCAGTTTTGAAAAATATAAACAGATGTTTCAATTTATACTTGCTTTGTGTTTATGTTTTGAGTTTTTACTCCAAATTGTCACATCCATAACACTGGAATTGCTTATTTAATTATTCTAATATGCCAGCAAGGCAGAAAAATACTAGCCTATAATAATAATAACAACAATAATACATTTTATTTATAATGCGCTTTTCTAAGACCCAAAGCGCTACAAGAAAAGAGAAATCAAACATGCAATAAAATACAAGTATGCATTGAAAAAAAAAGTTCTAAAATATAAGAGTAAATATTATTAAAATAATAAATATTATTAAAATATAAAAGTCTTAGAACGATGAGTTTTTAGCATCTACAGAGTAAGGGATATATATATATATATATATATATATATATATATATATATATATATATATATATATATATATATATATATATATATATATATATATAAATAAATAATACAATTCCCATTTTAACAATTTAAAATTACAAAAGGGTTCCTATTGGTTCTTTGTTTATTTTGCCCACAACATGGATTATCATTTTATTATGTATGGCTTTATTTGAATGAGATGTTCTACATCTGGATTATAAATCCCATACTGCTGCGTTCAGTTTCTATACCGCCCAACCAATGCATTCCCACATATTTCTAAATAATTTAACTTCAAATAATCCCATAAAGTCATCAACACTTACATATCCTTGATTGGCAGGTTCTTTCCTTCCACAATCCTGATGAATAGAGTGCTTCGTTTAGCCATGCTGTCATTCAGTGACTGTCTCTCAAGCGCCGACACTTCTTGTTCCTTCAATAACACGCATGTTTATAAGCAATGCAGAATTGAAAAACGGGCTATTGAATCAATAAAGCTTATGGTAGATCCTGTGTTAAGAAGCAGCACCGCCTGTCTGTCCAGCGGTCGTCCACGCGTTAAACACGGGCGGGTTGGTTTGAGCTCTGTGGGCTGTTTGTATGAGGAGTGACTGACTGGATTCACACATACACACTGGAAGAGGGATGGTATTACGCGACGCGTCAAACTACAACAAACGCGAGTTTCATATCCAGCTAAACCGCAAGTTCGTGATTTCAGGTGGTTTTGTTGAATATTGTACTTTTGTGGCGTCGAGATGCGAGCGACGGGTAAATTTAAGTCTTTTAAATTGAAGTCAAGTGAGCTGAAGTCATTTTTTAGTCCCTCGACAGTAAAATAGCTAGCTTACCTGTAAAAAAGCAAACTAGTCTTCGTTGACTATGCTTACCAGAAAACGAATAGGATCGTTCGTTTAGTTCACACTCCAAAATAATAGTCTACTTACTTTTTACTCACCCTTTAATGGTACAAATTCTTTATTTTTTATATGTTGAACACACAAACACAAATATATTTAGAAGAGTTGCAGGAACTGGGGAACCATTGACTTTTATAGCAGGGAAAATAGCCTACTATTGACTGAGAGTGGGGACGAAAATACAAATTTTCATGAAAACCTATTTTAAAACAATGTTTTAGACAGAAATATATCTTTGCTGCGGTTACTAACTCATAAGTGTGGTCTATCAATATATCAGGTGCTATTTTGAACATATAGGCTACAACAACTTCAAAATAATTTCACTTTAAACAAATTGTACATTGTTCATGTCCATAGCCAGCCTTGCGAAAGCCATGGTTCTTTTATTTTCTTGCAAGTATTTGCCTAATTTTTTAGTTATTTATGAGGTTAGAATACTGCATTTTAAGCATTTCAAAAAAGGTTTAGAATAAAGAATAATACAACAGTATATACAGAAAAACAATACTTATTTAAAAAATAAAAATTAATTACATCATATTTTATTAGGCAAAAAAAGAATCTGTTAAAGTTTTTGAATTAAAAAAAAGTGTAGCCTATTATCATTTATTGGGCAAACAACAAACTGGTCAGCACATTCAACTTTCCTCGGTTGGAATTTGGTATGTCAATTTTGGTACCAAAATTGCCAAATTCGGTGTCTCAAATTCTGCACCGACATCTAACATAGGATTTTGCTTGGTCTCAAAACCTTTATCGATGGGTTATTTTCACAATTCATTTTGTTATTGCAGTCTAAAATAGAACAAATGAACTACAGGCGTGTTGTTACTTTTGACCCAGTCAGTAGGGACAAAAGCAACCAGACAATGCAAAATGTTAACATTTTCTAAAATTAAAAAATATATATATGTGCATTTGCAATATGCATGGAAATATGCATTTATTTTTCAAAACATAAATCAAAACTGAAAGATGTAATACGGAAGTGAAAAATAAGTTATGGCTATTAGCAGTGTCGCATAAATAACAGTGTTACTGTCACCACCACAGGAACTCTTGCTAATAAACTGAAAAACTCAGAGATTGCAAACTTAAGGTTATGTTATTGCACTAAATAACCTGTAGATTGGTCATTACTGTGATGCATGAAAAGAGATATGGAACTTGTAATAAGAAAAAAGGTTGACGTAAGTTATTTCCAGCATTATACACTTCACCGAATGCACATTCACAAGAATACAGCCATAAAGCAATATTTTTGTGTAGAAGTTAAACAGTAAAAATTTTAATAACAAAATTTTCTTGAAAATTAAAAAAAAAAAAGTTAGGTATAGCAGACTGACAACTGCCCTTATAAAATGTGAAAACCTCTTCTTGACATTTACAGTATTTCTATCCAGTTAAAGTCAACTTTCATTACATTAAGCAACCGTCCTAATGTGCGTCACTGCGGCTTTACTGTGTTCACTTGATGATATTGGAGGGCAGATTTTAAAGAAAACATTCTAATTTAAGTGGGTTTGAAAGCTTTTTTTTGCTCTTTATATGGATTAAAATCCAAAAATATTTTTTAAGGGGACAAACTCCTTCAGAAACTGTATTTGAGGACAATCGTTCACTGTTTTAGTCCTTTAAGGGTGTGTTCACACTTGGCAGATTTGGTTTGTTTAGAGTGATTCACTTGAATGCTGTGATCACATTTTTTGAGCAGAGCACACATTCAGACCGATGTCTCTGAAAAGGTTTTTAATTCCATCAAAAAATGTCTCATGAAAGCTGTTGTTTTTTGTTATGTATCATTAGATTTGATCTTAAAAATGACCGTGTGAACACTTCATAAACAACAAAAGTATTATTTTTCTTTTTTAATAGGGCACACACAAACCATGACAACCTAACTACAATTGAGAACACCCTAAATGACTGGTTGGTAGAGAGCAGAGCACCACACTCTAACACAAATTCTGGGTTGCCAAGTCAATATTGGGTCAAATATGGATAAACCCAAGGTTGTTGTTTTTTTTCCTTTCAAAGTCTAGATGAACTTTGAAGTTGCTGAGACTTTTATCTCAGTCAGAGCCATAGAGATAGAGTTGCGAAAACTCCATTGACTTCGGTAGAATGTTTTCATTCATTCATCCATTTTCTTTCAGCTTAGTCCCTTAATTATCAGGGGTTACCACAGCGGAATAAACCACCAACTATTCCAGGATATATTTTTTTATGCAGCTGTTGCCCTTTCAGCCGCAACCCAGTACTGGGAAATACCCATACACTCTCACATTCACACACACACTCATACATTCAGGCCAATTTAGCTTACCCAATTCATATAGCTCATGTCTTTGGACTGTAGGGGAAACCAGAGCACCCAGAGGAAACCCACGCCAACACGGGGAGAACATGCAAACTCACACTGAAATGCCAACTGGCCCAGCTGAGGCTTGGACCAGTGATCTCATTTACAGCAGATTTACAGCTGAAGACGGCTGGTTTTGCACATTTGAAACGTACAAAGTTTTTGAAAATAAGACTCTACGTTTTAACGTTGTCTAACATCTGAATTCATAGATAGTTACATTAGATGTCGCCTATACGCTCTAGGGTATATGTTGAAGCATGCTAATAGGACTTTTAATTTGCCAGTAACCTGGGTTAATCGTTTCCAGTGAATTGTATGCCAATACAAAATCTCCACTGGCTGAGTGATATCCGATATAAAGTGGGTCTTAGATTGTACAAGAAGCACTGCATTAAATGACATTTCCCCCCGCTATGTCTTTATAATATGAGCATTTATTTTACCCCAGTGTATTCAATGGAGCTTCTGGACCAAGGTGCAGTGGAGGACTGGCCATCCAAATCCAGAGATGTATACACATATATACATATAGCTATGATCAGAAGTTTTCAGTGTTCAGTATGCAAATATTTTTTCAATTATGAAAATGATAATTATACATCACTTTTCTACATTGATGGATAGGTGAGCGCACGGACATTGTCAACAAAGGGCATGTTTTTTTTGTGTATGGAAATGTTTATTCTCCTTCCTTGTTAAATTCGATCTTATCTGTGTCCTGAAACACATCCACTCTCCTGCTTTCATTTCTAGTTCTAATGGAGGGAGCGGTTCGCTTGTGAGTGAATCTCGGTTATGATTTGGCAACAATAATACAAGTTTCTGGCATCGTAGCGTCTTGTTGTCTGATTTAATTTACATTGTTTGCTGATTTTATTCAACCATACTAGCATAAGCCTAGAATTTAATGCGAGTTGGTGCTACTTTGCCTTATGGTCAGTTCAGTAGGTGACTATATTAACATTAATAATTGTTAAGCACAAAAGTTTGTAACATATAAAAACATAAACAAACGAAATCTTACCTATGAAATGTTCTGCCTTTGTGCTTTGTTTGCTTGTTACTCGGCTTTAGTCTTGACTAGTGTGGTTGAATAACTTTGTCCTGGGAGCATTGTACAAATGTGGCAGCACTATTGATGCATGCTCAGGGTCCATATGCGCTATCTAGTGTATGTATCTCTGATTTGAATAGACTGTGAAGCATTTCCTGGAACTATTTTAGTACACCAATAACTTGACAATTGAACATTTTGGACTTCCGTTCTTCTCGCAGTTCTCTCTCACCATGGCTCTGATCTCAGTTTGTAGATATACTTCCAATTAAAAATGTATAGCCTGGCCTTTTTTTTCACGACATTCCCTCATGGCAAAATAATGTTAAAAGGGGCATGATTATGAATATTGTGGCTAAAATTATCAAACTGACGTCAACAGAAAGGACTAGCCATGTTTCAATCCACAATTTTTTTTTTGTGCATTTTGAAAAATCAGTTGATAAAAATGGCAAGATGAGCCTACATTTTGATAAATAAAAAATGCTTATGCAAAACTGAGTAGGAAAAACGTTTTATTTGCTAAGAAAAGATATGCATAAACTACGATGGAAACACTTTTACCGAACAAATTTCAGTCGGCGCATTAAAAAGGTCATGTAATTTTGTTTAGGAGATCATGTTATAATAAAAATGCATGTGAATGGACAAACCAGCAGGCTGAGCACATTTTAAAACATCTGAAATGTTGTTTTGGTCATTCTAAAATGCCTGAACTGTTTCAGTATTAGTGTTATTATATTATTAATGGCTTGTTAAGGGGATCTGTGCTCTGTGTCTCACGCCTTCATGCATTCATTGTGTGGCAGCATTATCTTCTGAGGCTGAAGTCAAGTATTAAATAAGAAAAAGATTGACGCAGTTGTTTTTACAGTTGATATTTGGCGCCAGTTAATCATAAAGTGACGATTTTGTTCTCTTTCACTTGTTGAATGGAAACGCTGCTTTATTTGCAAGTCTTTTACGCAATAATCCAGTTTTGCACATACATTTAATTTGCAGTTTTGGATTGAAACATGAATTGCAGATAGCAAATGGTCAGTTTT